GCTTCAGGATTCAGAAGGTACTAACAACTTTTATGAGCTGCAATAATAAATCTCCTCTTGGCAGCTACCATATCTAACATTGTGTTTACCTTTTTTTTTTTTCCTTCTGAGACAGGTTCTTGTTATGTAATCTCTCTAATTAGGCCTTCAACTCATGATCCTCCAGCTTCCATTAGGTGCTGGGATTATAGGCATGTGCCACCACAGCCTGAATTTTTGTTTGCTTTATTAAAGATTTATTTTTAAAAGCCTGCCATGGTGGCGCTCGCCTTTAACCCCGTACTTGGGAGGCAGAGGCAGAGCTCTGAGTTTGAAGCCAGCCTGGTCTACAAAGCAAGTTCCAGGACAGCCAGGGCTACATAAAGAAACCCTGTCTTGAAAAAAAAAAAAAAAAAAAAAGGAAGAAGAAAAAGAAAAATGCATTAACCCTTGGACTTATTTATTTGCATATATGTATAACCACAGTTTGTAGAATTGGCTTTGCTGCATCAAATGCTACACTTTTAATTTTGTTGTGTCCCATATCGCTGTCTTTAGGTAAATCCCACTGGTCGGCTCTCTCACCACAAATGCCTGACTGTAACTGTGCCTACGGCCTTGCCTTCAGTGTGGTAAGCTTTTTGAATACTGTCAAATATTCAAAATTCAAAACCTGTCAAAGAGCAAAGTGCTTTCCTGCAGCTTTTGTTTATAACTCTTCCTTATAATGGGACTGAAGATCTTTTCATGAATTAGAAGCCAGCATTTCTTCCTCTGTGAGCTGTCTGGCTGTAAACTTTATCATTTTTTAAAAATGACATGGGGTCCTAGGCATGGTGGCTCACACCTGCAAACCCAACATTTGGGAGATGGAGGCAAGAGGATCAGAGTTCAAGGCCTGCCTCAGTTACATAGTAAGTTTGAGGCCAGCCTCGGCTACAAGAGACCCCGCCTCAACATTTCCTGCACCCCTTTACTGCTCTAGAGCTGGTGGGACCTGGGAGAATGGAGCCGATAAGTGAGGTGGACTAAAATCTCATACAATAGCCAACTCTTCTTTTTTTTTTTTTTCATTTTTATTTATTTTTATTTTTCTATTATCATCTTGATACAGTACAAATTCTTATCCTAATAGTGAAATGTTTCATTGAGGCTTGCCCAGTAATTGAGTAAAACCAAAACTTATTATAAGCCACAGTCATCCTAGGGTCCCCCCGCTATGTAGCCTCCCTGGTTCTGTGGGTTGCAGTCTGATTGTTCTTTGCTTTATATCTAGTATCCACTTATGAGTGAGTACATGTTTGTCCTTCTGAGTCTGGGTTACCTCACTCAGGATATTTTCTAGTTCCATCCATTTGCCTGCAAATTTCATGATGTCATTGTTTTTCTCTGCTGAGTAGAACTCCATTGTGCATATGTACCACATTTTCTTAATCCAGTTTTCAGTTGACGGGCATCTAGGTTGTTTCCAGGTTCTGGAATAGCCAACCCTTTATTCAGAGCATCAGATGATTTATACTCTGAGGGTGAAGAGGCCACATGGGTAAAGTGGACAATCACAAGGACAAGCCATGTGTGGCTGACACGCCGAACTCAGCGGGAAACCTCTTTTTCCACAGAGGCATATAAACAACTAACAATGGCCAGTTGTGATGAATTATCTGACGCAAACCCACTCCTATCCACGACACCTGGGAGGGGCTTGAAAGCATAGACCTGAGAATAATTCTATAGTTTGAAGAAAGCAAGGTCACAAGACTCTTGGCTTGGTTTCTTGTTTTCTCACAAGCACCCAGAAATCTCACACAACTCCATTCTTGGACACTTTTGACAACCCCCCACCCCGCCCCAGAAAACAAAAAGAATTGTAAAAATTACAGAATTCTAGAAGGGCAGGACACTCACCTAGCAGGTGTGCTATCTTATGTTTAATCCCCAGTATTAAATTTTTAAAAATTATTTATTTGTATTTTATGTGCATTGGTGTTTTGCCTACATGTATGTCTGTGTTAGGGTGTCAGATCCCCTGGAATTGGAGTTACAGGCAGGTGTGAGCCACCATGTGGGTGCTAGGAATTGAACCCAGGTCCTCTGGAAGAGAAGCCAGTGCTCTTAACCGCTGAGCCATGCCCCCAGTATTACATTTTTAAAAAGAAATTCGTCTTACAAATTCTTTGGCTTTCTTTGTGAACAAAGAAATAGTAAGCCTTTATCTGTTTCTGCTAGGTAGGTTCCCTAATTTTCCTTTGGTTTTTATTTATCTATATCTTGTCAAAAAATCTAATCTCCTTGAGCACATGTTCTAAAAACAAACCTCTCTGTTTTCCTGTTTGTTACATAGTCCAGGCTGGCCTCTAATTTTTTTATCCTTTAGTCTCAGACTCTGGGCTTCTACATACCCTTCTTGCATTCTTATTCTTTTCTTTCTTTTTTTTTTTTTTTTTTTTTTTTTGGTTTTTCGAGACAGGGTTTCTCTGTGTAGCTTTGCACCTTTCCTGGAACTCGCTTTGTAGACCAGGCTGGCCTCGAACTCACAGAGATCCGCCTGCCTCTGCCTCCCGAGTGCTGGGATTAAAGGCGTGCGCCACCACCGCCCGGCTTTCTTTTTCATTTTAAGACAGGGACTCACTCTGCAGTCCAGGCTGGTCTGCAACTCACTGTTTAGTCTAGGCTGACCTTGATCTGAGGCAGTCCTCCCTCCCCCGCTTCCCAAGGGGCCAAGGCTGCAGGTGCAATCCACCACACCCAGCTTCTCTAGTCCTTGACGCTGAAAACCACATTTATTGTGTGCATGTGTCTCTGTGTGGGGGCACACCTGAACCACAGCACGCAAGTGGAGACCAGATGACAACTTGTGGAAACCGGTTCTCTTCTCCCCTGTGGGGCCGACGGACTGAATTTAGGTCATAGGGCTTAGTGGCAAGTACCTTTACCCCTGAGCCCTCTTACTGGCCCTGGCTTTTCTATTCTTAATTGCCCATACCTGGTAGGTAGGTGCTAGACAACTGTCTGTTGAGACGAGAGAAGAAGAAAATAAAAAACTTGGAAGATTTTGGAGTAATGTACTTACTCTTTTTTTAAACCAAATATAAGCCCAAGTTGACCACTGGGTTAGTTGGGGCCCCTGTAACAGACAGCAGAAGCTAACTCAAGTAAATTAAACCAACAACAAAATAAAACAAATAAAAAACGCCCATTCTAAACCAACCATTTCCCTCTCCCGAATCACCCTCAAATTAGCAACATATGGCGTTCACATTGATTCAGTCCACGCAAGGGCTGGCAGCCAAACCTCAGCGAACAGCCGCACCAAAGGAGGCCTGGCCGCTTGGCCCCTCCTCCCTTCCCTGCGGGGATCATCTGCCCTCAACGTGGAGACTGCACTTCCTCCTCCAGACGCAAGAGGCCGCTGCAAGCCCCATGGCAACCTGCACCACAGAAATAAGTTCTTAGCCACCACCTTCACCTTCTTGCCCCTGCCTTGCTCCAGATTTGAAGTCCCACTTTCTAGTGGCACCTCATTGGCAGAGCTCATGACTTGTGCCTGCACCTCGGGGAGGGTGTGTGAGAGCCCCAAGGTTCCGGGGTAGACGCCGCATCTCTTATTAGGGCTGAAACAATTGAAAACTCCCGAGATGCAGGTGGGAATTCTCCCAATTGGCAGGTAGTTCAGAAGGTGGGCAGGGCAGGCAGGAAAACCTTGCGAGCGATTGCGCCTGCTCTCAGGTCCTGCTCACGCTGTGGCTTCGATGCGGTGTCCCCAAGTCACCCATCCTGAAACACTGAGTTCATACAACCTTTACTGCTTGGGTCAAGTGTGACACCAGAAATTAATATGCTAATAACACCTTCTATATGCTTCAGAAGAAGGCTTTCAAACAACTAGGTGCTACCTCTATTTAAGGAGGAAAACAGTTCTCAAGTCACAGCAGCAACCGATTACAAGGCCAGGTCTCCCTGCTCTCAGAGTCCCGAGTGTCCCAGTGGACTCTGCTGACAGGCTGCTGTCTTAGCAGGGACTGGGTTACATTCTGTGCCCCCCCCTTACCCCTCCCCCAGTGCTGGGAATTGAGGTTTAGTAAGGCCTGATGTTTACTAGGCAAGTACTCTACCCCTGAGCGAGGCCCATGGCCCCACATTCTTAGTACATTCTGGTAGCATCCACTGCATAGAAGATTCTCCACTAACGCCCAGGAATCGGCCAGATGGAATAAAGCAAGAGCCAGTCAGTTCTGGAAGGTTCCCTCTCTCATGAGGTCTGAACCCGGGAATCATTTTCAGGTGAAACAGATCATCTAGTCAGGATCAGCTGTGGAAGAGGAACCTTGAATCTAGTAATTTCCTTCTACCTCACCTCTGTGTGTTAAAACTGTAAGATTCTTCCAAGTATTATTTAGCCATCCAACTGGTATTTTTCAACTCTGGACTAAAGAGGCGGGTATGACGACGACGAGAAGGACACAGTGCTTACTCTAGGGAATTTACATTCTAGTGGGGGAGGGGGAGGGGCCACCAATTAAATGTTAATTTGAGGCCCCGAAATGAAAAGCGCGGAGAAGGAAATGCCACGAGACGCTATAAAAAGCAGGTCTGACCTACTCAGGAGAGCCAGGGCCGCCGCTTTTGAAGACGTAAGGCTGGAGCGAGGCTATGAAGAAGGGGAGGAGCCGGGCCTAGGGGAGACTGGGGGAGCCCTGGAGGTGATGGCCTGCGGGGGGTGGCGTGGGGTTGGGGAGTACTCAGGGATCAAGGAAGCCTGTTTGGAGGGCCGCGACAGAGGGACCAAGGGGCCCCAGCCTAGTTTGCGGACGGCCCTTTCTGCCCGTGTTGGAGGGAGTGCGTCATGGCTGGAAGGATGTTCCAGACTGCAGCCTCCCGAGTCCCACCTGGGAATGACGTCGCCGGGGTGCAGAACTAAAATAGATGGCTCCGCCCCCCGTTTCCCCAGCAGTCCCTGCAGCGTTTCCCCCCCCCACCCCCCCCCCAGTGTGAGCGGCCGAGCCGGCCCTCTCCAGGTCTCTAGTAGTTTCCGCGGCGCTGACGCATGCTTGCGCACGCACCCCAGCCTGGCGCGTTGTACGCAGCCACCGCGAGCCGGGCTGCGGGTGCCAGGCGGTTCCCCGGCGCGGGGCAGGGGCGGGACTCCCGGGAGAGGAGGTGCGGCCCCGGCTGGGTCCGGTTGGGGGCCTCGGATCGGGCTGCTGGAGCTAGGGGGTTCGGGTAGGGCTGTCTCGGCCCCGCGGCGGCGAGATAACCCTGGGCACCGGCCTGCGGGACCGGATCAGGCTGTGAAGGGAGCCTTAGTCACCGGCTGCAGGCGCGGCTGCCACCTCGCAGTGCCTCCGGCCCGCCGGGGGTGCCGCGGCCGCAGGGAGCCGGGGTGCCTCGGCCGTCCTGACCCCTTCTCCCCCCCCCACTCCGCCCGCAGCCCGGAGGAGGGCCGCCTGACGGCTGAGTTGCCATGGCATCCTACTACGAGATTCTAGACGTACCGCCGAGTGCGTCTGCTGATGACATCAAGAAGGCGTAAGTGCCTCCTCGGCTGTGCGGCAGAAAGCCTCTGGCCCTTGTTCCCCACTCCCCCCCCCACCGCACCCCCAGCCTCCAGCCCCCCAGAGCCAGGGATCCTTTCGAGGGCTGCCTGGAGGGAGGAAGGGGACCCTTGGGAGGTGATGAGGACCAAGTCCAGCGATCGAAGAAGTGCTGTCCTTCTTCGGGGTGGGGGTGGGGGGCCCGCTACACACTCCCGCCCGATTCCCCTCTCCTCCAGCTCCTACCTGTGGGCTTGACCAAGCTGCAGTGCTAAAATGCCCAGGTTCTATGAGGTAGGCCAGTGTGTCCCACACTCTCTGTGGCTATAGATAACCAAGAGAGGGCTTAGGGTGGGGACATCCTTCTGGCACCCTTCCTCCCTGCTCACGTCCCTGGCACAGAGCAGGGAGAGAACCCCCCTGAAAACATGGCTGCAGTCGTGGGGCGTTCTTGGATCGGAGCAGTGAGTGATAGGGGTGGTGGATGAGGCAGAGCGGCGGGGTTCAGTTGCCTGGTGGGAAGAGCCCACGTCAGGCCCCTGACCCTCCAGCGGCTCTCACTTCTCCTGCAGGTACCGAAAGAAGGCTCTGCAGTGGCACCCCGACAAGAACCCGGATAATAAGGAGTTCGCTGAGAAAAAATTTAAGGAGGTGGCAGAGGCCTATGAAGTTCTATCTGACAGTAAGGCTTGGGGTCCTGCAGGGACCAGCATGTCCCCCTGTTTCCAATCATGCCCATCTCACTCCTTCCTAAAGCCAAGCCTCCGCCACCCGTCTCTTCCACGCCTTTCTTTAAGGTAGCATTTGAGCGCCTCCTCCTACATGGCAAAGTCTGTCTCCCAGGGTCTGGAAAGCGGTATGGATCCTGACCAGGGACGGACACAGCTTTCCTACCAAGCAGGCTTATAACCCACCCCACCCACCCAACCACCCACCCCCTCCGCCACCCCATTTTATAGGCAGGTAAACTGAGGCTGGGAGAGGTGAAATAATTTGCCCATTTCTTGAACTAGAATATGAATCCACGTCTGACAGATGATTTTTTTTTTATTTTCTGTGCTGCAGATTGTACCTAGAACATTGTACATGTTAAGCAGGAGTTCTACTGTTAAGGCACAATCCCAGACCCAGATTCAGAAAATAGTCATCCATTCAGAAAATATTCTGACTAGACATGGCTATAATTCCAGTACTTAAGAGGCTCTTGAGTTCAAAGGTTTTATATGAGTGGACAGACCTCAAATGGGCTGAGGATGTAGCTTTGTTGGTAGAGTGCTTTGGTAACACACAGGAGGCCCTGGATTTGATCCCTAGCCCCCCCATAAACGAGGCATGGTGGTACAGACCTGTAATCCTAGCAGGGGGGTGCGTGGAAGCAGGAGGATCAAAAGTTCCAGGCCTTTCTTGGCTGTCTCTGAAGTTCAAGACCAGCCTGGGCTACTTGAGCAGTGTCTTGAAAAAGTCTATATGTCTGAGCTGTGAGTGGTGGTCCACGCCCGTGATCTCAGCACTTAGGAGGCTGAGGGAAGATGATAGCCAAGGGTCTGAAGACAGTCTGGATACAGAGTAAGACCCTGTCTCCAAACAACAAAGCCAAACCCCTAAAGGATCCCAGAAAGTATCTGCTAAACTTACCCTGCCGGGTATTGTGGGGAACTAGGGAGACAGTGGGGGGACAAGCAGGCCCTGTCCTCCTCATGGGGGTCTGTCATATACTGGTCAGGGAAGACTGACAATAACCAGGTAGATGCAAAGACAGCATTGGGCCGTGGTGGCTCACACCTTTAATCCCAGCACTCGGGAGGCAGAGCCAGGCGGATCTCTGAGTTCGAGGCCAGCCTGGTCTACAGAGCGAGATCCAGGAAAGGCGCAAAGCTACACAGAGAAACCCTGTCTCAAAAAAAAAAAAAAAAAAAAAAAGGCAAACAAAACAAAATACAGGTAACACACTGAGAAGAGCATTCCTGAGGAGAGCAGCTGTACCAGGGGAGGGCGGTACCGTTTTTTGTTGTGGTTTTAGAAAGTCTCTGTGGAAGTGGCTGGATTAGGCTAAGCCTATTGATTATAATATGGTAGTAACTAGCTGACATTTATTTACTTAATTTGTGTGGAGCTCAGTGTTCCTGTTAGGCAGGACCTCGGCCCCCAGCTCCACCTCAGCCCCTAGCTTACATTTTATGTGCTGGGCATTATGCCAGGCAGTTTTTTTTTTTTTTCGAGTTATCTTATTTTGTTCTCTCGGTGGCCTGGAGGTCGGTGCTGTTGAGTGTGTCTGCTGTCTAGATGAGGCAGCTGCTGTGATCATGCCCCCAGACACCCCGTCATCCCCCAAGTTGCATTTCCTGAAGCTTGTCCTGGCCCAGGCGGGGAGAGGATTACCTAAAAGGAGGAATGACCAGGTTTCTTCTTCCAGAGCACAAACGGGAGATCTATGACCGCTATGGCCGGGAAGGGCTGACGGGGGCAGGTAGGTGGAGCGGTGGGGTGCCAGGATGAAAGTGGGGCAGAGAGGGAGGGGCAGGCCAATTCCTGCAGAGCATGCTCTCTCTAAGGTTCCTGGCCATGTCTTAGAGGGGGGGCCCCTGGCTCAGGGCCATATGTACCCTCTAAGCCCCTTCCTCATCCCGACTCCCTTCCAGGAACTGTTCCCTCGCAACCAGAAACTGGTGGTATGGGACCTGGCTTCACTTTCACCTTCCGTAGCCCCGAGGAAGTCTTCCGGGAGTTCTTCGGGAATGGAGACCCTTTCTCGGAGCTCTTTGGTACGTAGATGGCATAGTTCAACCCCCTCCTCCTCCGGCCTGTCTGTCTGTCCTCTGGGCGTCTCCCGGGCTGAGAGGGAATTGGAATTTCACAGACAGCCGAGTTGAGCTTGTGTGGGCGTGAGTCCAGTGAAAGCTAGGACAGAACCTCACACATGCCAGGACTCACGTGACGCACCAGTGACACTTCACAGACTGGCCTTATTAAATGACAACAAGAACACATTGTTAAACCTCCACAACAGCCACCAGGGGAACAAGACTCCAAGATCATGTGACAGCTGTAGCAGCATTACACATAACAACAGACACCATTTTTTAAAAATGGATACTGCATGTCAAGAATCCCGTATCCTCTAAACCTCTGGTAAATCCTGAGAGGTGGATAATTTAACTCCCATTTGCAGATGAGAAGACTGAAACATATTAGCTGGCTTAGAGTCCACATAGTCAGTGGCCCACCCGGGTGACCGGGAGGGAGCTCAGTGGTTCACGGCTGCCTAGCATGTGCAAGGCACGGGTTTCGGTGCTCTGCACCATGGAACAAAACAAGACAAAACACAACGAACAGTCGGTGTGGTGATTAAGAGATTCCTTCCACAAGCGTGGTTACACATGCCTGGAAAAAACTCAGCCCTTGAGAGCCGGACATGGTGGAGCACACATTTAATTCCCCAACTTGGGAGGCAGAGGCACTCTGTTGAGTTCGAGGCTAGCCTGGTCGGCATAGCAATTTCCAGGCCAGCCAGGGCTACCCAGTGAGATTCTGTCTCAAAAACCAAAAACCAAAAAACCACACCCTTTTCACTTGGGAGGTGGAGGCCTGTGTTCAGGGGTTCCAAGTCATCCTTATCTGTCTACTAAGTTTGAGGCTAGCCTGAGCGACTGAGACTCCTTTTCCAAAAAAGTTTTAAAAATCTGTAAATTTATACAACCCAAACCAGGAAAAGTCAGAAGTGTACGCGGTTGCTTATGGTCTTGATTTCTAGGCTTTAAAGCGTCAGCCACACGGTTTTGGAGGTGATCTCCTCACCAACGTCTAATCTCCTCCTTGCAGATGACTTGGGCCCCTTCTCGGAGCTTCAGAACCGGGGTGCCCGACACACTGGCCCTTTCTTCACCTTCTCTTCCTCCTCTCCTGGCCAATCTGGTAAGCACCATCATCCCCTTCTGTTCTTGCCAATCCTGAGTCCCGGAGTCCCTGGAATTGGCTTTGCTTTTGCTAGCCGGGGCAGGTCTGAGTGAGCCCCCCCCCCAAGACTCCTGGCTTTTGGCGATGGTGCTAAGCAGTCAGGAACCTCCCTCTCACAGCCCTCCCCTCTGCCTCCGTTGTCCCAATGCCAGATTTCTCGTCGTCTTTCTCCTTCAGTCCTGGGGCTGGTGCTTTTCGCTCTATCTCTACATCCACCACCTTTGTCCAAGGACACCGCATCACCACGCGCAGGTGAGCGCTCCTTCCGGGGGGGCCAGACAGGTGGCAGTTCTGGGGAGGAGGGGTAAAAGCCAGTGCTGTGTGAATATGCAGTCTGTCTGTCCTGACCACGGTCCCTGTCAGAGCCTGGACCAGTCTCTGCTCGCGGACTGAACTGTGCCGTCTTCCACAGAATCATGGAGAACGGGCAGGAGCGGGTCGAGGTGGAGGAGGACGGCCAGCTGAAGTCAGTCTCCATCAATGGTGAGTGGGGGGGGGGGGGGCTTCGGGCAGGAAGCCGGGGGGGGGACCCATGTGGCTCCTGCCTCCCTTGGGGTGGGGCTAGCTAATTACCATCATCACTGGTGGGACGCCTTACACTTGCAAGGCTCTTTGCTCTGTGTGAGTGACACTGGGCATTGAACCCAGAGCCCTGGGCATGCTGGGCAAACGCTCTACCACTGAGCTAGAGGACATGCACAGGGTCACTGGGGGCCTTTTCCTTCTTTCCCTTCCTTTTCTTTTTCCTCTCTCTCTGTTGTGTGTGTGTGTGACAGAGAGAGAGAGAGAGAGAGAGATACACTGTGCGTGTGCCTATGAGTGTACCTGTGGAGGCCAAAGGTCAATCGATATCTGTTGCCTTCCTCTCTTGTGTTTTTAAAAATTATACATATAAAGATTTATTTTTGGTTATGTGTAGTTGTGTGTGCATATGTGTTTGTGTCTGTACCGGTGCTCACAGGTCCAAGGCATCTCTCTCCAGGTCCCCTTGGAGATGGAGTTACAGGCAGTTGTGACCCTCCTGCTGTGGATGCTGGGAACTGAACTTTGGTCCTGGGGGGGGGGGGCAGTACCCGCTCCTACCTGCTGATCCATCTCTCCGGTCCCAATTTTTGTATTTACTTTTTGAGACTTTCTTACATGCACACAACACATTTTGATCATACTCAGGCCCCACCTTCACCCTCCAGCTCCTCCCAGGCCCCACCTGCCTTGTCCCTCTCCCCACTTCATGTACTTCCCCACCCCCCTGTCTTTTGAGACAGAGTCTCTCCCTGAACTTGGAGCTCACTGATTCGTCTTAACTGGCTGGCCAGCAGGCCCCAGGGATCCTCCTGTCTCTGCTCTTCCAGCCCTGGAGTTACAGGGGCGCACGGCCACACCCAGCTTTTTCCTCGGATGTTGGGGAATCCAGACTCAGGTCCTCATACTCACACAGCAAGCCCTTTACCCACGGAGCCGTGTTCCCAGCCCTGTGTTCTTAACCCCGCACGGGAGTAAAGCAGTGTAGATCATATTCATCAGGTTCTTATTGAGGAGCCTGAGCCGAAGCATGTCTAAATGATCCTAGCCTCTAGCTCAAAACTACTGCCTACCATGTAAAAGGGATAAATTAAGCCAAGAATCAAAATCAGGTGTGTGTGTGTGGTGTGTGTGTGTGTGTGTGTATGTGTATATGTGTGTAGGCACTGGAGTATGAAGGCAGAACCTTGTGCGCGCTAGGATACTGCAGTCAAACTCAGGACTCAGGGCCGGGCGGTGGTGGCGCACGCCTGTAATCCCAGCACTCGGGAGGCAGAGGCAGGTGGATCTCTGTGAGTTCGAGGCCAGCCTGGGCTACAGAGCTAGTCCAGGACAGGCTCCAAAGCTACACAGAGAAACCCTGTCTCGAAAAAAAAAAAAAAAAAACCCAAACAACTCAGGACTCAGGATTCCTGAAGTGGAGCTCTTCCCCCAGGGACTGTGGCTGTGGCTAACTATTTACTGCCAATGCTGAGCACTGTGATAAATATTTGTGTCAACAATCTCCTCCTCCCCATGTCATAGAAGGCTGAACGCTGTGCCCGAGGCGACAACCTGGGTTGCTAAACAACCTCGTAACCTACTGCGTGTGTCAGGTGTAAAGAGAGGCCGTGAGGGGGCAGGGTCCCTGCTGGGTGAGGTGGTCTGGCGTGAGGCTCTCGCCTGGGTCTAGGGACCTGACGGTGGCTGTGATGCTTGCAGGTGTCCCAGATGACCTGGCCCTAGGCTTGGAGCTGAGCCGCCGCGAGCAGCAGCCTTCAGTCACCCCCAGGCTGGGGGGCACGCAGGTCCAGTCAACCTCGGTCTCCCGTCCCGCCGCCGATAGCGACCTTTCTGAGGACGAGGACCTGCAGCTCGCCATGGCCTACAGCCTGTCAGAGATGGAAGCGGCTGGGCAGAAGCCAGCAGGTGGGCGGGAGGCGCAGCAGCCATGGCAGGGGCGGCCCAAGGCCCAGCACCAAGACCTTGATGTGGGAGGCACGGATAAGGGGGCGAGGGGCGAGGCCGCCAAACCCAGCCCATCCTCAGAGGAGAAGGCCTCTCGCTGCCTCATTCTCTGAAAACTAGGCCGAGCCTGACCTGATTCAGGTCCCGACTCGGAGTCCAGCTCCCTGTGGCCTGAGTTGCAGGATCCCACACTCGGTCCCGCCACAAGTTTTTGTCCCAGGCCCCACCAACCGATAGCTGGACCAGGGATTTGTTGTGCTCTGTCCAGGCCTGATAAGTCCCTGGGTAAAGCCCAGGATTGGGGGGCATCAGAGCCAGGGAAGGGCCTGTGGAGCCCAGAGGCACGGTTGCATCAGGCATTACTGAGGGACATTAGTGGTTTGGGGTGGGCCTTTGGGCCCACGTCGTCTTCTGCCAATCTGTGTTGCCGATGCTCTCAAGGAAGGAGGACTTGGCCTGGCATGCTTTGAGCTCAAGTTGGCAGCTCGAGCGGAGCCTCTGCTGTGCTTGCGCAGCTGCAGGCCCCCCGCACCCCCCCCCCCCCACGCCCCGGTTTCTGTGCAGAACTGAGTTCTTACCCATTGTCATCTCTGTTTCCCCCTGGTTGCTGCTCTCCTCCCGCTCCGCTCTCCGCAACTCCCTGTGGCTGCGCCGCTTGCTTTCACTGCTGCTTGGCTAGGACTTCCTCCTCCTCCTCCTTCTCCTCCTCCTCTTTGAAGCCTCAGTGTGCCCAGGAAGATGCTGGGGCCAGTGGGGCCATGAGATCTTCTGGGGAGGCTAGCTAGGTGGGGTGGCCGCCTCTCAGCCCTCCAGAGTCTCAACCAGAATCAACTCCTCTTCCCTCCTCCTTGCTGCCTCAGCCTGCCCTGGCCATAGGACTAGGCAGAGGTGAGGCTGGCTATCCTTGGAGAGGTGGGATAGGGCCAGGGTGACCCAGTGGGAGGCCTAGGTGGGGACCGTCCTTGTCCATCACGCATCAGAGCTCAGGGGCCGGCCACAGGGCTTGGCCTAGGTGTGCATGCTCAGCTCCCCGCCTCCGTGTGCTTGCAGCTGACCCTCTCTCCTATCACCCCACCCCTGCTCTCTCCCCAGATGTGTTCTGAGCTGGATATCCTGGATACAGAGTTGCTGCAGTTCCAACAGGACAGCGCCCTCCCCAATGTGCTAGGAGGGAACACTCCATCCCTCTCCCTCACTTAATGCTGAGTGTAGGGCTGGGGCCTGGGTGGTGGGTGGGGGACTGAGTGGGAGGCACCCATAGTCTTAGCCTCTGAACTCTCTCCCCTGGGTGCTTAGCACTGTCTCTTGTGGATTACAAGTCCCAGAGTGCAATGTACCATGGCCTCATTTCTGATAGCTCTAATCCCAGGGGAAGTGGTGCTTGTTTATAAAGCTGGGCTTCTTGGGATATGTAGTTCCAACCTAGCCAGTCTGTCGCTCTTCTCTGACTGGGGAGAGCTTGTCTTTCATCTTGTCCCTGGCAGAGGTGGTGAGAATTGTGGATGAAGGAGAAAGGACCAGAAAGACCACTAAAGACCTTAGTTCCTCTGACACTTGTTGCTAGACCCAGGCTGGAGTGAGCACACCAGAGTCCTGTAGCATCTGAGAGGTGGTTTCCCTTGGGCAGCTTGGGGTCTAAGGACTAAGCTAGTAGGGCAGTGGACTGAGTAGGGATAGCATGGTCCTGGAAGGCTGATGGCTGTGGGCTGGCAGAATGTGGGAGAGAAGGCTGCCTTGGCCGGAGTGTGTATGGCGAAGATTGGCATGCAGAGGGAGTGTTGGGCATATTGCTTGAATGGCTTTCTTTGGCCTCTGACCTTGCTGCCCATTCTTTCTTACCATCATTCATCCTCCATGAGCCACCTGCCCTCCTCCTGCCTGGGGAGTCCAAGCCAGTGAGGGGATTGGTGGAACGGGCTGTGGCCAGCTTCTGTAATGCTGAGCCTCTGAGACCCATCAAAGTCAGATGAACTGAGCTCAGGCTCAGGGAAAATGGAAGTCAATAAAGCTGAGTTTTGAGAGCTTAGTGTCCTGTGTACCTCCTTTCCAAGATGGCCTAAGAGGGACCTCTGGGATGATGAGATGACATTTTGGGCGTCACACCTACTTTATGCCAAAGAGCTGGAGGTGCAAGACTTGATCGGGTTGTCCTCCGCAAGTGTGTTGTGTGACACCAAGAAATTCTTGGTCCTCACTTCCAGGGCCCCACACCTAGCTTTACCCTAAAGTTCCCTCTTGTCAGGGAACTTAGTTCCCAGTTCTCTGTAGTACAGCCAGGCACAGACTAAGTTAAGACTTGATTGAAAGCATGGGGACTCACAACCAATAGATGGTAACAGCTGATTTGTGTGTGTGTGTGTGTGTGTGTGTGTGTGTGTGTGTGTGTGTGTGTGTGTGTGTTTCCAAGACAGTTACTCTGTGTAGCTCAAAATCCATGGGGATCCACCAAAGGTGTGAGCCACTACCACTGTTTTTAAACAATTTTTAAACCACCGCTGATTTTAAGCGGCACCCAGGGGCCTTAGACTAAGCCCCTCCAGGGGGTGTGAGCCAGCAGCATGTAGAATGCCAATCCTACCCAGTGTGCAGGCCCAGGGATGAAGGAACCAGAAGCCCCTCCCCCCCTTACTATCTCCAGCCACAGGACCAGCCCATTTGTTTGTGCTGCCTACAAGAAGATGTGGCCCTGGCTCCCTCACCCCAGAAATCACCTTCAGGAGTCAAAGAACCTAGCCAACTTCTCGAAGCTAGAGCAGCAGCCTACCCTGAAGGGGGAATTCCAGGCCCTCCCGTCCTGAGCATCTTCTGGGACTTGCAGAATGATGCTTTGACCACTAGGAGCCTTTACCATGTAGGACATTGGAGCTGAGCCTCAGCAGAGCAGACAGTGGGCTGGGCTCCAGAACTCATGTTTTCATTAGAACTCCAGCATGATTCAATGGCTCCCGGCCCTAGGCTCAGCCCAGCACATTTTTGTGTGTCTGGAATCACCGTCTGGGGTTACTTAAGACATACAGGTGAGGGTTCCTGGGGTGGGGGGAGCACCCTAAGGGTGATGGGCTGAGAGGAGGAGAGGATGAAAGGGAAAAAGTGTTCCCCCAGGTGGCTTGTCTCAGCACCCCACTGGCAGGGTTGGCTGTGGTATCTATCACCCGAGATGTGGTGGGCAGTGGGTAGATGGTCCCTACAGCCCTAAGTTCTGTCCTGTGTGACAAAAAAATGTCATTCCTGGGGCTGAAGAGCATGGAGCAGCATTCTGAGACCTGGGAGGAAAGGCTGTATGAAGGCCCAGCTGCCCAGGTTTGAATCCCGACTCCACCACTTCAAGTTTCACAGCCTGGGCTAGGGCCCTGCTGCACTCTTTGTATATGAGGCATCCATCATTGGTCGTAGTTCCATGGAGACGAAATGAATACATGCATGGCACCTTGGAACCCACTAGCCACCTAGAAGCCATGCTCTTGGGCACTTCCCAAACCAAGGACAGCCATGGTGCCTCTGCAGCCAGGGTTCCCTGTGGCTCTCTGCTTTTAGTGTCTCCAGGGACACAGGGCGGGCCAGCTCAGACCCAAGCTACAGCCGGAGCCTGGAAGCTTACCAAACAGAACCGCAAAGGTGTCCATGTTGCAGCTGCACAGACAACACACTAACTTTATTCACATTGATACAAAAGTAGATTTTTCTAGAAATGTTCTCTTGTGCTAGAAGGAGAAGGCTGAGCAGGATCAAGGTGGCAGGCCAGTGGTAGCAGGGCTAGGGGAGCCGGGGCCCTTTCCTCCTGCTCTGTCTATACACTGCAGGCTGGCGGGAGTGGGGGGGGGGGTATGCAGACTGGCTAGGGACATCAAGAACCATGGGGAGAGGGAGACAGAGACTCAGGTCGGACGGGGCTCAGGCACACTTGCTGCTGGTGTCCACTCCTCGGCCTGCCTGCTGTCTGTTTCCCATGGGCTGCCTTGGGTCTAACATGACAGAAGCTGGATGGATCTGCCCCTTCTCTCCCCACTTCCTTCCACACCGGGCTGGGAAGGGCTACCATGCCCAAGACGGGCCAAGATGGCAGGTGGGTAGGAGCTGAAGAGTGGGGGCACAAATGCTCACACAGGCAGAAGGAGCAGAGGCCAGGGTGTCCACTGAGGTGCCCAGGGGGCTCACTGGGGCAGGGCCTTGAGGATGGCATTCACCTCCTCCGCCACGGCTGTCAGCGCAAACTCAAACTGGTCCTGTGCAAGGCCAGTGACAGAAGGGTCAGGAGAAGCCTAGCCTCTGCCTCTGCCCAAGGGGACATTGCAGGGATGGAGGGTGCTGGGCATTTGGAAGGAAGGGAGGCCGTCTGGAGGATGCAGGAGGGGCAGACTGCTGTTGGTCTCTTCATGGTGGCCACGAAGAGAGTGCTTGGGGAGGGAAGTGACTAGGGATGGGGCGGGGAGGCACTGTCACCTTGGAGCGGACAAGGCCGGGTCGCTGGTCACGGACATGCTCCAGGGTGGCAGCGATGTCAATCTCCTTCACTCCTGGGGATAGGGTGGAGTGGGGGGATGCCGAAGGGCGTGTCCAGGGGCGAACAAGCCCCATGAAGCCTGGGCATCCTTAGCAAGGTTTGGAGATGTGACCACGTGCTCCCTGGCGGGTTCTCAGACCCACTGGGTACTGGGGAGCCATGAGGGGACAGGGGCTGTGGGCCCTGTGGGAACAGACCTTACCTTTTGCCATGCGGTTCAGTACCATGTCAATAAGGACGTAGGTGCCTGTCCTTCCTGCGCCGTCACTGAAAGAGGAGTTGGTGACAGCCTTAGCCCTGACGGGGAAGCAGGAAGGGAGCAGATGGGGTGGTGGGGGTGGGGAGTGGGAGTGGAGTGGGGGGCTGGGGGGGTGGAGTGTGTGGGGGGGTGAGGACGCTGGCTGATTATTAGAGTTGGCCTGGGAAGAGCGTTAGTAAGCTGTGGGTGAGAAAACAGAGGCCCTGAGTGGCTGGCCTGGGAGTCCTGGCATATGGACAACCGGAAAGTACAGCCATGGCTCAGTGTCCAGCGGAGGCAGCAGGATAGAACGGGAATGGCCCTCTCCAGCCTGGGGCCGGGCTTTTGTTCAGTCAGCTCTCCACAGAAAGGGTCGAAGAGTAAACGTTTCCAGCTGTGGGCTGACATTCTTCTGGGCGTGTGTGTGAGTGTGTGTGTGGCTATTTTTACTCACTAAAGACAGGATATGCCCATGGTTTGTGCACAAGGAAAAGGACCAGAGAGAAGGGTAGACTCAGGAAGGCCCCGGCCCAGGGCCTGGGTGTGGCAGGTCCCCACCCACCTGCAGTGCACTATGATGGGGCAGGATCGGCCTCGGTAGCACTTGTTCACCTTCCTGCAATGAGAAGGGGGTGTGAAGGCCAGAAGCCACCAGCCGGACAGAAGAAAGGGGCACTAGTGGCACATCACTGTGTGCTCACAATCTGGCTTTCTTCCTCTCCTGCCTTGTGGCAAGCACAGAGCAGGAAGTGAGGTGGAGAAGGGACCAGAGCTGCTGTGGATGGCACTGGGCTTTGTCACTCGGAAGCCACGTGCCCAAGTTGTGAACCTGGAGTAACGGATTTAACTTCCAGTTTTCATACTACAAATGGAAGATGATAGTTAATAATTAGGAGCCCCCCCCCTTTTTTTTTTGTAAAGAATTCTTACAGAATGCCACGAGATAAAACCTGCATAAAGAACTTGCACACCACAAGCTCGCTCCCTACGTGGTAGTTGGTAATAATGGAGTAGTATCGACAAGTGGTTCTGTTCAAAATCCAAGGCTTCCTGGGAGCGTTGAGGTCAGCTCGGTTACTCCACAGCCATGAAAGCCTGTCCTTTCCACTCAGGTTCAGAGTCCACACTAGTCCTGACGTCAGGTCACCGAAATGCATTCATTCACAACAACGACTTTGTTCTAGCTACCGCATGCCAGCTGAATTGATACAATTCTGGTGCAAACTCCAGGGACTGTGTAGCTTACCCTTGTAGCCTTAAAAAGGTCTATGCAGTGAGTGACCCTACAGTGGCTCTGTTAGGGACTTCGCTAGTTTGTTCTTTTGTAGATCTAGGGGTCAAACCAAGGCCTCACTTATGCTCTATCTCTGCACCCATCAAGACTTTTATTTTATAAAATATTTATTATTATTATTATTATTATTATTATTATTATTCAGTGATAAGAAATGAACCCAGGGTTTTTTGTGTGCTCGGAAAGTTCCCAACTACTGAGTTACATCCCTAGACCTTTTTTCATTCTTTTATTTACCAGACAAGGGCTCCCTAAACTGCCTGAACTGGCTTTGAACTTGCAGACCTCCTGCACAGCTGGGATTACAGATGTGTGCCATCTCATCTGACCAGGGGTTTTTTAATGTGGGGAAAAAAGGGAAATAATTTAATACTATGATTTCACTTTCAAGGTGTGCCTCAGGCTGCAGGGACTCAGTCAGAAATCACTAGAGTTCAGAAACTACCATGGTCCCCACCCCAACTCTTCCCCGCTTCCAGGCACTGGAGACCCAGGCCAGCTTCACACAAGACAGAGGAACAAGCTTCAGTGCAGTGGGGCCTCTAGAGAGAGGCTTCTCTGCCACCTGTATGTGGTGAAAGGCAGGGGATGCTGGGTGCCTGGCCTGGTCTGGGTATTACAATAGGTTAAATCCCTCTGTTAGCGGCTGTCTCAGCCCCTCCCAGTCCCAGGAACTTCCTGCAGGGTAATCTTGGTTTCTTTTTAAATTCCTGCCCCAGTTCCCCAAGCAGCCTCCGCGTAGGCATAGTCTCTTCTCAGACCTGCCTGCCTGTTTCTTCCGTCTATGCGGCTGCCACACCTGCTAATGGCCACTTTCGTGACTGTTCAACTGAAGTAAGAATATTAGCAGACACACACACACACACACACACACACACACACACACACACACACACACACACACACACGGCTGGCAGCTGTGAGGCAGGGAGGGAGAGACGAAGACAGGCTGGAGAGAAGAGGGACGGGGAAGGAAGGAAAAGAGAAA